TGCAGAATACCTATAATTCTAAAGTCTCAAAATGTAAGGAAGTTGAACACAAGGCATCTTATAGTGTGAAGGACAATCTGGAAAAATCTGTGTAGAGGAAACACAACGTTTGAAACTTTGTGGGCTACAATCTAACTTTGTAGCCATCAGTGCATCACAGTGAAAGAACAGGGTTCTCTCACTGTCCTCCAACTGCATCCAGGATCCAAATTTCAAGAGAAAAACTTAAAAAATTAAAAGAGTTCTTTTAATCATAAATTTAAACTTGTCATTTTCATCTTGGAAAAATGACAGTAACGCCTGCCACTCTGCAAATAGGAAGTAAAGGTAAAGATAGAAGTATCCACAATTTTACTTAATACTGAGGCAAAACTAAGAAAAATAAAAAGGAGCTAAATCTAGTATGTAAAGAAATGTCTGCTCTGAATACAAAGACAGAATCAGATCTACAAGATGGGTACTAAATACCCATAGAAGTAGGTTATCAATTGAGTTTAAAAAAATGCTCTGTGACAAAATCTGTTGTGGGTTTTCTGCCGAGCCCATAGTAGTGAGCTTAACATGGTCTGAACTGTAAAAGGTAATTATATATAGGCTGGAGGGGAGAAGCCAGATAAAGCTATAAAGAATGGCAAAATGTTAATTGTTGAAGATGGGTAATGGTTATGGGTTGAGGGAGGGGGCTCATCATACTACTTATGTATATATTTTGAATATGTTTGAAATTTTTTTAATAAAATAAAAAAAAAAAAACAGCCCAGTCACAATAAGCTTGAAAATGCATACACTCTTCAGAACAGAGATGGATAATTATCTCTGGTGCTTAAGTTTTATTCTGATAAAGAAGAGCAAAGAATAACACAATTTATGTGTTACTAACTTGTACTGTCTTATCAGTTTCAACTGTCCAGGCTTTATACTTACCAGCAAGACTACGAATATCATTCATAAAATGTTTTCTTTTTGGCTGCATCACAACACTGTCTGTGTTTCCTGAAATGTAAAATCATGACAGCGTAATGTAAAACCTAGTTATATGCTCATATTACAGCAGCATCAATTGAAAAATTCATCAAATAGAAGCATACCTTTGCCTTTATGTGGCTTTGGATTTCGGTATACAAATCGATCCAAGAATCTCATTAGTGTGAAATCCTGTAGTGGGTCCCCTGAATACTCAATATAATTTCCCTGAAAGGTGAGGGGTGGGGAGGGGAGAAGGAATTAAGAACTTAACTCAAATTACATGTATGCATCTAGATGAGAAACAAAAAGAAAAATGTAAGCATCTATTACATTGCTTCGAAGGCACAAACATGGAATAAAAGACCCTTCAAACATCCCTCTCATGCACATTATTCTCTTCTTGAAGAAATTAAACACACTCATACACATTTAAGATGCACTGATGATTTTATGAATGGGCAAATAGTATTAATACTGCAGGTCATCTAACCAGGAAACAAACCCTGAGTGGCAACACAGCAAATGGGAAAAGGGAGGGCAATCTTTCTTTACAACAGCAGAGAATGTTCATGATTCTTTCTGGTGGAGAAAGCACTGTTTGACCAATTATTGATTCTCTAAAACTGGATTACTTACTTTTTGTCTCCTGAATATTTGAGACTTACCTGAAGGATAGTCTTTGCAAAAAGGGCCACAGAGGGATGAAAATGCTCAGACAGCTAAAAAGAAAAATGTGAAATTAGGTGACCTTTTACTATAGCTGTAGATTATTTATGAAAATCCAAAAAATTGAAACTTAACCCAATATATCAGAAAAGTGATTCTTAACAATCAAGGACCTCAACTGTTAGTAGTGAGGTGTATGTATCTTTTTGAATTAATGTTTTTGTTTTTCTTGGATAGATGCCCAGGAGTAGAATTGCTGGGCCATGTGGTGGTTCAATTTTTAGGTTTTTGAGAAACCTCCATATTGTTTTCCATGGTTGCTGCACTAATTTACACTCCCACCAACAGTGTACAAGGGTTTCCTTTTCTCTACATCCTTGCCAACATTTGTTATTTGTGTTCTTTTTGATAATGGCCATTCTGACAGATGTGAGATGATATCTCATTGTGATTTTGACTTGCATTTCCCTGAGACTGGTGATGCTGAGCAACTTTTCATGTTCCTGTTGGCCATCTGCATTTCCTCTTTTGGAAAAATGTCTGTTCAGTTCTGCACATACTATAGTTGTGTTGTTTACTTGGTTTTTAACTGAAGTACAGTTGATTTAAAATGTTGTATTAGTTTCTGGTGTACAGCATGGATGGTCTTAGAGGGCATTATGCTAAGTAAAATAAGTCAGACAGAGAAAGACAAATACTATAAGACACCACTTAATGTGGAATCTAACAAAATACAACAAACTAGTGAATATAACAGAAAAGAAACAGACTTACAGATGTAGAGAAGGAACTAGTGGTTACCAGTGGGGAGAGGGAAGGGGGAAGGGACAAGATGGAGTTGGAAGATTAAGAGATACAAACTATCAGGTATGAAATAAGCTACAAGGATGTATTGTACAACATGGGGAATATAGCCAATATTTTATAATAACTATAAATGGAGTATAACCTTTAAACATTGTGAATCACTGTATTGTATACCTGTAACATAATATTGTACATCAACTATACTTCAATTTAAAAAATGATATTGTTAAATAGATACATAAATTTAAAAAATCAAGGACCTCAAGAGCTTTCTTAATTTAAGTAGGATGTATCTATTGATATTTACTTCATTAGATATTACAACAGGAAAATTTTAAACATAGTTCATTTAAAATAGCAATAAACACATTATATATTGATATAAATGTTTCATAAAAATAACTTTTTCAGAACAAATAAATTTGAGTGAGAAGAGTGGCATTATTTCACAGTTTTGCAAATCTGTTTAATGTCTGGTTTAACAGAAGACAGTGGATTCTCATATCTGCTTCTGTATTCCATGTTATTTTAGTTGAAGTATATGGAGAAAATCTGGCCTCACACAGATACATAGTTGGAAAAAAAGAGGATTAACCAATAGTCTTTCACATAAATGTGGAGTTTTTTTCTTTGCTACTATATTGAAATTGAAGATTAGCTGCAATATGGAATCTGAAACCCCATCAATCAGCTTTTGGTACTTGCTACTTAAAATTGACTGGTCTACAGTGAATGGATCTTTTATCCATGCTTGACTCTGTAACACTGTGCATCGGTCATTTGGAAAATACTGACTCAGTGAGTTATGCAAATCTTCCAAATGTTAGTCACATTTCATTCAACATCACAAAAATCACACTGTTAGTATCACCACTGATTTTCATCAGAAAAGTTTTTATCTACTGAGAAACTGTTAAGTTCAAGATGGTGGTTATAGGAGTTCTAAAATTTTAATCTGTGCTTAAAAGCTTGAATTTTATCATTGACAACAAACACTGTCAGCTGTTTTGTTTGAAGCAAAAGGTTCACTTCATTCATTTTCAAGAAAAAATCTCCCAAATACCCAAGTCTGAATCACCAGTCTGTCAGCCAGCCTTTCACGAAAAAAGCAGCTAGCGGCGTTTCCGACAACTCCCCAGGCACTTTCCCGAGACATCACACAACCCTCATACTTAGGTCTGCAGCAAAGTGCCTTATGTGTTCTTGTTATATATGCACACAGAATAGTAAAAAGAAATGTATGTATTTTGGGGTCAAGATAATAAAATCAACAATTTTTTTTCCTGCTTCATCACTCTTATGTGATACTTGATTTTTTTGTTCCCTACAAGTATGTGGCAATGAAGAATTTAATGACCATGAGTGCAGCCTGGTTCTACTGTTTTATTTGTGCTAAAGAATCAGCAGTTTTATCCATCATTTCTTTACTATCAGTGCCACTGTCAACAGTGACAAAGGCAAAGAATGTCTTGGTACCACTATGAAAGTAGCTATGACCTATCAGACTTGCTAACAAGTCTGTATAGGAAGTCACTTACTTGCTTTCCCAAAAGAATCATAGAAAGGTTATTATAAATACGAATACCTCTTATGTGTTTAAAAAGTAACTTTGCTTGGAAAAAGTTCTGTCATCACAAAACTTTTCAGACATACCTAATACATAAAGCAAAACTTATCCCTATATAGAGCCATTATATGCAATAATCTACTTAGAAAAAGCAAAATTTGTTTCTAGCCATGTATTAACATCCTTATTTTGCATGCACATTATTTAAGATTTTCTACATGTGAATGGAGAAACAGATAAATTCAATGTTTATCAGAGGCAACAGAAATATGGGTTATAAGGTATTACAGCCAAGTGACAAACTTCAAATTGCTTCCTTATGCCAATTAATGTCTAAATAAATAAACTCCTATATTTATCATTCACACACAAAAAAAGAAAACTTGAAGGTGTTAAATCCATGGGGACAAAATACAGCACAGATGAATTAAGAGACAATTTGAAATTATTTTACCTTTTTGAGTTCCCAAAGACTTGTATTTTCAGCTCCACAGAACAAAGGGTTTCTACTGAATGGATCATATGTGTTTAACTGTTTGCCACCTGAGAACAAAAAAATAAAATAGTATTTCTCAAATGTTTTATTCCTAGACCAAGAGGTCACTAAAACCACCAAAACTACTGATGTCAATTACACCTATAATTTTCAATACTCTTAGTTAGCCAGGTATCCTACCTAGATCAAAAACTCCAAGCCTTGTCAAGAATTTATCATGGTACCCAAGCTAGTATTTGCTATTGAATAAACCAGGCAGCATGTTTATTCCAACTACTAAAAGCTCCCCTTCAGATTTTATTCCCTTTTCAAATAGCAACAAAAGGCACCCATTTCTTGGTCAATTAGGTCATAAGTGGTAACATGGCAAATAACCTGAGGATGAAACAGGTCTAAATTCTTTTGGAACTTTAGAGTGCACTGAATATTTATCATTAAATTATGCCCAGAAATAAGTCTCACTTGAACAGGTTTATAATATCTTTTTCATGTTTTCAGCAACCCTCTGGATTAAAAAATTAAAGCAAGAAAAGTTGAGCACATAACAGGAACTGTCTCCTTCACAATGCACCTGCTCATCATCTCTCTAAAGGATTATACTCGGGTTGGCCTTCAGGGCAACTGATGGATTCTTTTAAAAGCTTTCCTGATGGCTGCCATACTCCTCTTTTATACTTCACAAGCAAACTGAAGTTTGGAGAGAGAAAATCATCTGATCAAGAGTCCCACAACAAGCTGGAAGAAATAGGCACATTTCTTGATCCTCAAGGCTAGTGTGCTTTTCTTTACAGCCTCAAATGAAGAGGCTGTACTTCTAAGATTTCTTTTGGCTCTAATATTCTGTTACAAGACTTAATTCAATTTGTGTATGTGGATGGAAAACCTAAAGCTTCTACTTCACAGAAAGTTTTCAATCCTAAAACACTACTTTGAGGAACTATAGAGGGTAAATATGAGGCTCAAACAAAATAACTACAAGTTCCACACAATTCACAATATGTAACCAGATACTTTTTGTTTAGAAATCAAACTTTAGTGTACATACATTTGTTGTTTTCATGTATGTTTCATGTAGGAGGGTTTTACATGTACAGATAAAAGCCAAGAAACTAAAACTGGTTCAAAGGTGTAAACTTATTAAATCCATACCTGAAGAAAAAGAGATCTGTTGTGCATCGAACATGTCCAGTTTTCTCACTAAATCTTCACAGTTCCAAAAAGATCTACTTTAATTTCTAAGATTTATTTAAAAATATGTATTTATTATCTGTAGTACTGTTAATGAACAAATGATTCATTATATTAAAAATTTACTTCTAAGTTCCTATATATATCTGGTTATGAGAACTCCCATTTAAAGGAAAGCAATATTGAGGACTTCTAAAATGGTATATTTACTTCTATTAAGATCAAAGGGGAATCCAATTCCTCTGTTTAAAGATTCAAGAGAATCATTTAATATTTAAGAAACTCACCTTTCAAATTATCAAAGTGCACCCAAGAAGCAGATTTTAACTTTTTGGTTTCCACATGACTTTCAGACACAGTTTCTTCCATCTCAACTTTTTTCACAGTATCTGTTTCTGTTTCTTTATCTGCATCAGTGAATTTTTCTATTTCTTCATCATCTTTTATGTCAGTAAAATTTTCTTCATCATCAGACTCCTAAAAAAATGGTTTAATGAATCTGGGTTAATCAACTGGAAGTCTATATTCAATTACATGAGATAGTTCTGAAGAAGATTCGCTTATTGCAATTCTGATGAAACGTGAAAGTTCCATCAATGAAATTTAGAATGAGACCATATTCTTATTTTTAAATGTAATAAATTTTAAACGTAATAAAAAAGTTTTGAGCCAAGAATACCTGAGACATTCAAAACATTCAGCCCTCAGGTAAATCTCTGACTTGTTATAAATAACTCTATCAGGCAGGTGCTATTATGTCCACTTCACAACTGAGGAGACAGGTAGGAGACCCACTAGCTCTACAAATGTCTACAACTATTTCATATAATCAGTTTAGGGTAGTTTATTACAAGTAAAGTGGTCAAGCAACCTGCCCACCTAGTAAACTGTACACCTGGGACTAAAATCCAGGTCCGTCTGCTTCCAGGACTCATACTACATGCTCCAGAGAACTAAGTAAGTTATTGTCACTGAAGCAAAGAAGGAAAATACCAAATATATTTCAGAACCCACTCGATTTAAAAAGCAGCTATAAAATATACCGGATGATCATCTAGTTGACTTCTTAAACCTGGTTTTGCTTTAAGGATCTCAGACACAAGATATAAAGCTCCACATATGAACGGTGGCATCTGTTCACAAGTAACTTGAAGTAACCTCTTCACAAAAGCCTTCACCCTCCGCAATACGATGTCCGCTTTCAGAGATTTGTAGACAAGGTTAAGAAACATGGCTTGCTTAGAACACATCATCAAGCCTGGATCCAGCATCTTCCTGCAAAACAGAAAAAAGACCACATGTTTATTCATAAAACACCCCCATAACTAGCAGTCACATATTAGAGTCAACTACTAACTTAATCTTAGTTAGAGATAACCTTCCTGCTTATTTTAGAAGAGACCATTTCTTTTTTTTTAACATTTTTTTTACTGAGTTTAGTCATTTACAATGTTGTGTCAAATTCCAGTGTAGAGCACAATTTTTCAGTTATACACGAACATATACATATTCACTGTCACATTTTTTTTTGCTGTGAGCTACCGTAAGATCTTGTATATATTTCCCTGTGCTATACACAAGAGACCATTTCTGCCCTAAGACGTAAAATGGAAGTCAATGATCAGAATAGAAGGAATGATGATAATATCAGGGGAAAAATCCACAGGATCAAGAGACCTTTTTTTGTGGTTTCTTTTCTCTTTCCCAAGTGGTTTTCCATTCTCCAGACCAACAGAGCACAGCCCTAACAGTGTAGTTTTCATATAGATACAGAACTGTGCATGAAAGGCTAATCCAAAGCCAAACAATGAAAACTGACCTGTGTAAGCAGTGGACTAGATCAGGTTCTTGTCCTTGCATCACTCCCTACTATCTGGTGACCAGAGGCTGCCTCCACATGGTTCTGGTGAAGCATACACGTGGAGTAGGAAACTGAATTGTGAGGACTTCAGAGACTCTCCAGCTCAATGTAAAACTGTATGACTGTATCCTTCCCATACATACTTTTCCCTCTGCCCAGAATGCTCTTCTCCAGCTGTCTGCATGTGCACAGGTTCCTCCGTTATCTCCTTTCTCAGTCCCCCATATTTATGTTCATTATAGTTTAACTCATTCTTCTGCCATTCTCTCCTCCCCCTCTCACCCCTAGAGTCCAATGGAACAGGGACCTGTGTCTGTGTTATTCACTGTTACAAAGCTGGTGCGTGGCACTTAATAAGTACTCAATATTTGCTGAATAATAAGTGATTCACTTCATGGGAAGTGGTTGTACAGTATCTCTAGTGATTGCAGACAGCTCACTAACTCTGGACAACTCATTTTTTGCCAGAAAATACCTTCTTTACCCATAGTTGAAATCTGTTCCTGTGTAATTTCCAACCATTAATTCTACTACTGCCTTCTGGAGCAACACAAGATTACCTAAATACAAACAACAAAAGCAAAAATAAACAAGTGGGACTAGATCAAACTAAAAAGCTTCTGCACAACAAAGGAAACAGTCAACAAAATGAAAAGCCAACCTATAAACAAAATTATCTGCAAACCATGTATCTGATAAAAGGTTAATATAAAAAATATATAAGGAACTCCATACAATTCAATAGCAAAAAATTCCAAATAATTCAATTAAAAAATAGACAGAGGACCTGAATAGACATTCTCCCAAAGAAGACATACAAATGGCCAAAAGGTACATGAAAAGATGCTCAATACCACTAATCATCAGGGAAATGCAGATCAAAACTACACTGAGATATCAACCACACATGTTAGGATGACTATTACCAAAAGGCAAGCGATAACTAACACTGACAAGGATGTGGAGAAAGTGGAACCCTCGTACACTGTTGGTATGAATGTAAGTTGGTACAGCCACTGTGTAAAACACTATGGTGATTCCTCAACAAATTAAAAACAGAACTACCATATGATCCAGCAATTCCACTTCTGGGCATATATCCAAAGGAAATCTGCACGCTCGTGTTCTCGGCATTACTCACAACAGCCAAAGTACAGAAACAACCTATGTGTCTGTCAATAAGATGACTGGATAAAGAAAATATGGCATAAACACACAACAGATTATTATTCAGTCATGAGAAAGAAGGAAATCCTACTTGTGACATGCATGAACCCGGAGGACATTGTGCTTAGTGAAGGAAGTCAGACAGAGAAAGACAACTACTCTATGATTTCACATATACGTGGAATTGAAAAAAATCAAATTCATAGAAACAGAGAACAGACTGGTAGTTGTCAGGGGTTGGGGTGGAAGAAATGAGATGCTGGTCAAAGGTGCAAACTTTCAATTATAAGATGAGTAAGTTCTGAGAGGATCTACCGTACAGCATGATGAATATACTTAATACTGTTACTGTATACTTGAAATTTGCTAAGAACAGATCTTAAGCATTGTCACCAAGAAAATATGTTAATTAACTTGATTATGGTAATTACCACAATGTATACACGGATCAAATCTTTGTTATATACTTTAAATATATATAATTTTATCAAAATAACCTAATTATACTTCTACATGACAGCCTTTCAAATACCAACCCTATACTATAGCTAATTATGTGTCCTTCTCTCCCCTCAAGGGTCTCCTCTGCTGACTGCTGAACTATTATCTCCTATGATAATTTTAAAATTCTCTCTCTATCGTGCTTGCTGAATCCCAGGGATGTTCCAGATGGTCTAGAACCCCAGACATCAGGACACCCAGAATTAACAAGTCCTCCAGATATGCTGATGTGGAATTATTACTTTTGTTCTAAGCACTTTTATTACTTTTTTTTCACTAACACTAGAAATGAAAATATTTAACCTTGTGAGGCATTTTCATATTGCTCTTCATATCCAGGTTTCTCCATTTGTCAGTTCCATAACTCTCGTACCTACTGGTGATATTTTGAAATAATCTATATTATTCAATCTTTGACATCTCACTTTCTCTCCTCCCATTTACATTTTTCAACATTTTCATCCATTCTGCAACTTATTTTTAATCATAAGCTCCATTACATGTCAATAGAAGCATTGGAGAATTTAGACGGGTGTCTCCACCATTTGACAGAGAACATGTTCCTGAAGCTTTTGATAAATCACGTTTTTGTAAACTGAATCATTTCTTCATTTCTTTTATCCCTCAATTTTACTTAAAGGATTCTTAATAAAACCAAGAGAAAATAAATACTTTAAGAAGGCTTAAAAGCCCTTTGATGAAATTCATCTGTGAGAGTGCTTGGCAAGCAATAATTTAAAGAATTTAGGAATGTACTCCTCAGAGATGTTAGACTATTGTTTTAAACACTGAGATGTTAAATAGATATTAGAAAAACGTGTTTTCCAATAGTTTCCAAGCATTTCCTAAGAAGTAGAAATTCTATTACCCTCAAAAGTTACAAAAAACCCCAAACATCGAGGCCCCTACATTTTCAGTCTCAGAAGTCTTCCCAAACTAAAAACATTTAAGTATTTATTACTTTAAAAGATTATAGACTCTTAAGACTTATGGGAAGACCTCTGAGATTCTTTTTTAGTGTACCAGCGCAATCAGTGCCATGAAACACCATCAATTCCAAGCTAGTATAGATCTGGATTTGCCACCTAACTTGGCCTCATAATGTCTGTGTGAACTCGCACAAATTATGTACCTCAGAGACTGGAGAGCTGTTAAGAGGATTAAACTAAGCAGGAGGGTATAGCTCAAAGTGGTAGAGCACATGCTTAGTATGTATGAGATCTTGAGTTCAATCCCCAGTACCTCCTCTAAAAAAAAGTAAGTAAATAAATAAACCTAAATACTGCCCTCCCCCTCCAAAAACAAAACAAACAACAACAAAAAAGAGGATTAAACTGAAAAAGTGTGAGGATAAGGACAAGAAGTCATAATAATAATAATAATAATAATAATAATAATAATAATAATAATAATAATAATGGCAGCACTTACAGAGCACTTAGTGTGTGTTGGGCGTTGTTAAATACACACCACATGTGAAGATTACATGGGTTTACATATACATTAACTCATTAACCTTATTAAATTCCCAGTTCTGTCATTTTCTAGCTATGTAATTGTGGGGAAATTTCATCATCTTCATAATAACACTACGGGATAGGTGCTTGCCTCTCCATTTTATAGGCAAATAAAAGCACAGTAAAATGGGATCAACCATGTTTACCAATGGGGTTTTAATGAGGATTAAGTAATCTACCCAAAGTTAAGACAGCAAACTAATGGCTGGGACCCAAAACCAGGCAATGTGGCTCAAGTCTAAGATATTAACCACTATACATTACGTTTTTCAAGAGATATATGTACGTAAAATTACAAAGATGAATTAGAAGGCAATATATAGCTTGCTGGTGTACTTGAACAGTTCCAAACTGTACTTAAATACACTTCGTTCAAAGTATCAGCCCTCAATGGGTGCACTGCAGGATAGCTGCAAAATTCAGTGGACAAAGCCTTAATCATAATATTTTTTTAAAAATTCCCAAATTGTAACCCCCAACCCTCCTATCCAAAAGCTTTCTTTTTTTTTAATATATAAACTTTTTTTTATTGAGTTACAGTCATTATACAATGTTGTGTCAAAAAGCTTTCTTATTTACCATGTGTCTTCCCCAATATGCATGGAAGTGCCTCTAGAGGTGGGAATTTTGTTCACTGTGCTATGTCCTGAGTCCTGGAACAGTGCCCAGCACATACTTGGCACTCAAAAAATTCTTGTTGAATGAATGACTAAATGGCTGTATGAAGGACAGGAGGGAAAAAATACAGGACTGAGGATGGGGCCTACTCAAAACAAAAAAATAATAAACAACATATTCAAAGCACATAATTTAGCTGTCCAACAGGGAAACAAAGACTAAGTCACCCACAGTTGGTGAGTAGTAGCAAGTCGCCGAGGAGGCCCTAGAACCCCACTTCCTAAGTCTTTCTCTTGCCCCACAAAGGGGCACAGCATTGTATTAGACCACGCTATTTCTCACTCACATACTGGAATGGTAGGTACTTACCGATACAATGCTGCATAGTATCGATTTGATATCGTCTGCTGAGAATTCATCACTTGGAAAAGCAACATTAAAGCCTGCACACTGGTATTAAAATTCACAACATGCAGCACTCTAAACAGTGTGTCAACCTGCTCCCTCACTTTGTCGTCACCAGTCTGAGAATAAGGGTATGCCCTATTCACTCCTGTCAAAAGGGCACTGAGCATTTTTGATTCAATATCTTTTTTCTTGATACAAGTCCGAAAAAAACAAAAATAAAGAGTTATTAATTTGTTAGCCAGTTCACTTTCTTCATGGGAGAGGGCCATTTGATTTAAAAAGCAAATTGCGTAATACTGGGCTTTGGAGCTGATGTTTGAGCGGAAGAGCAGCCTTTCTACTTCACCACACACAACTCCTTTCATATTGGGATGTCTGCAAAGTAATGTCTCTAACAGATGGGATGCTTTGGTGGCTATTCTGTTCTGAGGATCTCCCAGTTTATTCACCACCTGCACAAGAAGGGCCTTTTCCTCCTCAGGTTTGTTACAAAGCAGCTCATGAGCCACTATAAGGGCTCGTGTTTTTGTGGTTACTAATGAATCATGACTTAAAGTTTCTAAGACCTGCACAAATTCAGCCACTAAGTGTTTCAGCTGGTGTTCAAAATACCATAATATCAGCCTTCTGTCCCTTGAGTCCCTGTTGCCACTGGACAACTGTTCTAGTTTGTTGAAAGGATGCTGGCTGAAAATTCGTAGTTTTCGACTGTCTGGCAAAAGGTCTGTAATGAGTAACTCTTTGAAAGTATCCAAAGCCATGAGGCACTGCTGTTTGCTGCCCTTCTTTTTAACGAGGTTCAAGAGAGTTTCTACAAACTGCAGTGTGTGAACAGCATCATCCTGAATAAGAAGAATCATGGCTGCCATCCTGTCACCAAGTGTCCCCGATGTCACAATTGCCTTCATCCAGGTAGAAGAGGCTCCCTTTTGATTATTCGTCTTATTTTTGAATAAACTGATTTCATGCTCATACAACTTCTGGGCCAAGGTTTTGTACTTAGACACAACATCCTTAGGCTGGGGTTCCAAAGAATATTCACTGCTGTACTCCAGATCATACCATTTGCCTCCAGACTTAAGTAACAATGTCTGTCTCTCAAAAAATTCAAAGATATCCTGTTGTTTATCTCTCTTTACCTTTGGTATGGCACTGTTGTTCTCAGCAGGATGTCGTTCCGTTCTCTTCTTATTTTTCACCTTACTTTCATTTTCTGCTACATTTTGCTTTTTATTATTTACTTTAGGAATTCTTGCTTCGTTTTTGCTTGCATCTTCCTTTTTAGCTGGTTTTTCTTCTTCAGTTGAGAAAGCTTTTGCATACTTGGCCAAGCTGAGATTCTGAATAAATGCCTCCAATTCACCTTGCTGAAGATCATCAATTGCTCCTTTTTTGCCTCCATCTACCACTTCCTCATTCTCATCCAAAGCAGCCAGCATAAGGTAATCTTGCTGCATAAAAACATAAGAAAGTTAAAAATAAATTACAAATCCAACAGTTTAGTTAAAACTTCAAAAGTTAAGCTGATATCTACATCCCTGAAGTCAATTAATTTGAGTTATCATGGTATTGCCTGGGCTCCCACCTACACTCACAACACTGGATGGATCAAAAATTTAAATGAGAAAAATAAAACAAAACAAAAAACAGAAGAAAGCACAGCATAATTAAAAAAAAAATTCTAGAGTAGGCAAAAATCTTTCCAAATTTGACAGAAAACTCAGGGTCCATAAAGGAAAGAATGAATAAATTTATCACTCTCTCTCAAAATATATACAAAAATCAAAAGACAAATAATAAACTGGAAAAACAAACTGGCAACTCATATCAAAGTAATTGGGCTCAATTTAATATAAAAGTTCTCACACATCAGTTAAGGAAATGACAACCCAACAGAGATATGCAAGGGATATATATACACATATGGTTCACAGAAGGAAAAAAAAAGCGGCTCTTTAAAAATATGAAAAGACGCTCAACCTCACTGACATTTAAGGAAGTCCAAATTAGGGAGAGGGTGTAGCTCAGTGGTAGAACGTGTGCTTAGAGGTCCTGGGTTCAATCCTCAGTACTTCCATTAAAATATATAAATAAATAAACCTAATCACCTCCCCTCTATCCCCCCCAAAAAAGGTCCACATTAAAATCACAATGATACGTTCATTTTTTAATCTGTCAGATGAGCAAAGATAAATTTAAGACAGGTGGTGTTGGGAGAGGGTGAAGAAAGGCACTTTCCTACATGGCTGATGTAAGTATAAACTGGCACATCCTCTATGGAGGGCAATTTGCCAACTAAAAACAAAATACAAGACACACATCCTTTCACCTAGCCATTCCATTTCTACAAATTTAGGTTATACACACACTTACAAATGTGGAAAAAGATATATATTCAAGGTATTTACTGAAGCATCATTTAAAATAGCAAAGATTGACAACTTAAATATCCACAATAAATGCTGGTTAGATAAATTAAGACAGATAATGATTTATGCAGGCATAAAACCAATGACAGTCTATATACTTATATGGATGGATCGCTAAAACAGTAAGGAAAAAAAAGACCTAAAATATTGTTTAAAAAATATTATAGACATAGTACTGTACCTTTTGTGTAAAAAGTAACAAACGCAGGTGTGTGTATTTGCTTGGAATATATAAAAGACATAAAAATGACTTTCTCGGAAGGGAAACTGCATGGAGATTAAAGTGGCAAAAAAGAATTTTCATCAGGTACCCCCTCCTTCAAAAAAAAAAGCCTTTTTGTAACATGTACATATACTACCTACTCAAAAATTACATACTACCCAAGTACAGAGCAAATTGTGAATATGTCTCTGTAAATTGCATTTCTCTTCCCTCTATTCGCTCATCCCACCCCGCCCAGTTTTTATAAAATATTTAATAAAAAGCCAAATTCTATCACATACTTGCTCCAAATCTACAGTTTCCGATCAAATTCAGAGCATAAGTCCACCCTCTTACCTCTCTGACCTTTCTCACTGTCCTCCTCGCACCTCACTCTGCCTCAGCTGTACTTACTTTTCTGTTGTTTACGGAACAGAACAAATAAGGCTCATTCCTTTCTTTCCTTCAGTTTTCTGCCCAAACACATCAGTGCTGCGTTCTCCGATCACCTTGTTTAAAACTGTTAACACCCTCCCCTACTCATCATCCTCTTTCCTTGTTTTATTTTTCTCCATAGCTGTAGTCAGCGACTAACATACTATGTATTCCAAAGTTTGGTTATTGTTTCTCTCCCTTAATCAGGATGTAAAATCCAAGAGCGCAGAGAGCTTAATGAGCGTGTATCTGAGAACAGAAGTTAAAATTCCAACACCACTGGAGTTCCAAACATTGACGCCAAGAGGTCAAGACCAAAAAGTCAGTCCTCTCTGACTTGACGGAGTGCCAGGTATACTACGTCAATAAAATGAGATCACCTACATCATAAGAAAGAACAAAGCACAAAAATGTTCAATTCTAAACGACTTTCTCTTGCAAAGAGCAACGGGAAAGAAGTGCGGGAAGCGCACAGAACACATTTCAAAGCTGGGCTCTGGGTCCATGACGCCCTCCCACTCCGCAGCGCCGGGGCTGCGGAGTCATTTGCACGCCACTCGCGTGACCACTCCACGCGCCTCTGTCCTGCTCCAGGAGTCCCAGGCCATTACCTTGGTGCCTCCGAGTCGTAACACTTCTTCCAGGGAAAACTCATCCTCCGTTTCATCGTTATCGTCCTCATCGTTCTCATCCGGATCTTCTACCGCCTCCTCCGGTCGCCGGGGATGCTTGGCATGGAACTCCAAAGGTTTCTTGGCGGCCGCCATAGCAAGGAAAGCACGCACGCAAAGCCCGCGGCTTCCTTCCGCTTGGTCGGGTGACGTACTTCCTGCGGGGGCGGGTCCTCACCCGGAAACGGGCGCAATCCTCACACCTGGAAGGCGGGCTGCTGCGTGCGGTGTTCGGCAATGAGCGTCCTCGTGAGGGCCGGCGTCTGGCCGCTGAGAGCCGCGCGCGCAGGTATGTGTTCGCCGTGTCCGAGCCTCAGTTGCCCTGGGAACCGCCTAGGGCGCCTTCCTCAGTTTGGGGGCCTCCGAGGAGCTCTGGGCTGCAGACTGGAGTTCAGCCTCAGACACGAAATGGCTGCGTGGTCGTGGGCCAAGCGCGGACCTGCTGCGCCCGGTGGGCGTGCTGCGGCCCGGAGCCCGAGTTCCTGGCTTTGGCTCAGGTGAAGTGTTAAGGAAGCCGCTTTGAAATCACTCACGCTGCTATGCGCTTGTAAATAGTAATATTTCTAATGAGTCCCGTTTAATGTGTGTTTTTTGCAGTCATTCCGTGTTTTTGGAGAGGAAAGTACTTCAGCTCCGGGAAGGAACCTGCAGAAAACAACCTGGTGACTCCTATGCTGCGACATCTTATATACAAAATTAAGTCTACTGGTCCCATCACCGTGGCCGAGTACATGAAGGAGGTCTTGACCAACCCAGCCAAGGTATGGGTCGGGGAGCCCGAGGACAAGGCCCGCTCTAGCAGCGCCGCCAGTGTGAACCGGGAGGGTTTGCGCCTAGAGGAGCCTCAGCCCTGGCAGGTGCCTTCCAGGCCAGGGGAGAGCCACACTCGAAGACCTGGGGACAGATAAATGAATCTGTCACTTGGGCTGGGCCAGGTCAAGTCAGCGGCAGTAGCATTAAAGAGAGGACAGATTTCAGAGATGTTCAGGAGACAGTGTAACTGATTGGACTTACAAGACGAGGGAAAGATGAGTACCTGGGTTGATGGCAGATACTGAGTCATTTCTCTGGGAGAAGGGAATGCAGAAGGAGGAAGAGCAGGTAAGTGTTTTAGGAGGGACAGGAAGGACAGAGTTCAGTCCGATGTGTGAATTTGAAGTTCAATGTGGTACTCAGGTGGAAATGTCCGATAAGCAACAGGAAATACGAGTTTCATGCGTGGACAGCTGTCTTAGGTTGACATCAGCAGGCATTGGAAGCATATTCTGGGTTTTATTCTTGAGAATGGAGGTCTGGGGCTTTATCTTTTAGTATTAAGCACTGTCACAGCTTTCTGACCTGTGTTTCCTTCTCTATTCTACAAAGTCATTTGATGAAAGCCTGCGATCCTTTTAGTTTAGGATATTTCGCCTTTAGTTGGGTTGAAATACGAGATCTGTGGAATTCTGGGGTTCATTTGGCCTTTTGATCTTGAATGTGATGGAGTGACTCAGGGTCCAGGGGTTTAGTAATGCCAGGGATCCTTTAATGCCTGTATGCAGTGTCACAATGTACTGAAAGTTCATATAGAGAGAAACTTTAGAACAAACATCTTTGGGTTAAAGTGGAGGTCCACTCATCATTTATCCATTTATTGAGGCGCCAAATGTGCCGGAAACTGTCTCAGGCACTGGGAATACTGCAGTGGACAGTAGAGCATGGCATTTATGTTCTACTGAGAAAATGAACTGTAAACAAGGAAACAAATAAAACAGGTTGATAGGATTGAAAGCAAGTGGTGCGGTGGGAATAGGGGTTGTAGAAGTTCCTCAGGTAGATGGTCAGGGAAACCAGTACATTTGAGCCGAGCGAGGCTTGAGGGATGGGGATAGGCCAGCCTGGCAAAAGACTGGGAGAAGCGGGTTCCCAGCAGAGGATCCAGAGGCACAAGGTTTTCAAGCTGGGAAATGTCTTGGTGCATGCAGAGAAGAGTGCATGTGCCAGTGTGGCTCGAGGGCTGTGCCTGGGCAGGGGTGCTGATGATGAGGAAAGCAGTATGAGATGCATTTGGCAGGAGCGAGTTCATGCAATGCTTTCATGAAATTTACATTTTTGGGTTGTGCAATGGGAAATCTTCAGGAGGTGCGTTTCATGTATATCGTGGTGGCAGTGACATCAAGATGGAGACAGTAAGTGAGCAGATGGCTGTAAGAATCTGGAGTTCCTGAGAAGGATTCAGTATGCATATAAAAATTTGGTCATCATCAGTATATAGATGACATTAAAATCAAAGGAATCAGGTAGAGTATACTTGGAGAAAAGGAGGTTTTTCAGGATTAAGCCTTGAGGTAACTGTCAAATTTAGAGTAGATGTTCTTAACCTAGGGATCCTTGAATAGAAATCAAGGGGTTTGTGAACTTGGATGGGAATAAAAATTGCACTTAGTCTTCATTAGTGTGTTTCTAACTGAAGTTGAGTATTTCTCTGATTATAAACGTAGGTGACAACCATAGCATCAGCACTACTTAGAAATCACTGATACTGTCATATCACAACAGAGTGATCATAGGTATCGCAAAATACTGTTGTATTTCTCTGCACTTCACAACTTCATTATTTATTAGAACTTCAGCTCCCATTTGTTTTTTAGTACACCTAGAAGAAGATGCATGTAAATTCCTATATCACAAATTTGTTTTAAAAATATTTGAAAAGTATTTTTCAGTTGATTTCATTTTTAATCCTGTGTGTTTTCAGTTCTGTGCATTTAAAAACATTCTTTGGAGAGTCTGTGGTCTTCACTAGGCTGCTGGAGTGGTTCATCTCTCATACACACACACAGAAAACCACCCCTGAAAAGCTTACTTATGAAGGGAAAGAGAAAGGCTAGATGGGAGATGCCATATGGAGTGAAAAAGAAATTTTTTAAAGATGAAGGTGACTTAATTATGTTTCTAATGCTGAAGGGGAAAAGTTGAAGCTGTGAGAGAAAGGCGATGATGAAAAGATCCTGGCCCATCAGGCTCATGTGAGAAATGGGGCTCCAGCTGGAGCCCTGGGTTACGTCTGGATAAGAGTAGAAGCTGTAGGCATTTCAGCTCTTGAGTCCGAGCAAAGAAGAGGAACAGGTGGAGGCCAGATGGGGTCAGGAACCTGAGGAAGTCTGTTTAATAACATTCTTTAATCTCGTGTGGGCAGGAGCCCAGGTCACCTGCTGAGAGTCCGTTTGGAGAAGAAGAGGCTTGAGGAGCATAGGGAATTTTTAAGAACAATTCCCAAGTGTTTCTTGGAGGTTAGACATTATGCTAAAACTTGGGATATGAAGGTAAAGAAGACATAGTCCTGTCCCTCAAATGCCTAATCCTTCTGGTGGAAACTGCTGGATTAAGTTTGAGGTTAGAGAGCTGGAGGAGGAGGTCAGGGAAGTTAGCATTTGAGCAGATTGAATCTTACTGAGTATAAGCTTGCCAGGGAGAGGTGGAAAAGGAGAAGGGGGAGCATTGCAATGGCATGGATGTGGACAGGCAGGGTGATTAAAAAAACAAACTTTTTATTGTGATGTAACATTCATATAGAAAAATGCATAAATCACATGTATACAGCTTGATGAATTTTCACAAAGTGAACACTCCCATGTAAAAAGCACCCAAGGTCAAGAAACAACAGCAGCAGGAAGGGCTTAATTTGAAACAAAGTGAGAATTTGGGAGAGGAGGCTGGAGGGGTGGGCAGAGCCTTACTGTGCTGGGTTGTGGGAGCAGGAGGGGGAGGGCAGGGCTGGAGGGTAGGGATGGACATTCCATGGCTTCTGCCTTTACAGTCAGGGAATTGTTTTCCTACCAGTTCTGCAAAATGACTGTTACTTTGTAAAATTTATGTGAAGACATTATTTATTTCGGTTGTTTAGAAGAGAGAACCTTCTTATGAAATACCTGTTTATTTCATCATATATATTATATAAGATTTTGGAGGGCTGTTTTAAAAAGCTTATTTGAAAACAATTATTTTTCCATTTTTTCTTTTTACATAGGGATATTATGTGCACCGTGACATGCTAGGAGAAGAAGGAGATTTTATTACTTCACCTGAAATAAGTCAGATCTTTGGGGAGGTAATACTCAGTGTAAAACTAAGAGAAACTAATTATCACCAACATTTGAGAGCAGATCAAGTAGTATTGTTCTACGATACTGGTCTACTGCTTTGTTTCTGTTAGTCATCAAAAGTTTTAAGTTTTTAGTAGTTTATATACTGAAGGATAGAGGACATTGGAAAAGTCCTTTATTATAAAAAAGGAAATGTAGAGATGTGAGAGACAGAAGGAAAGAGAAGGAAAAGATATGGAAGGAAAGATGTTGGAAAAGAAGAGAATCAGATGAACAATGAGAATGGGAGGACAGAGACAACAGGCAAGGTGAAGAAGGAGGCTGAGTGTCCCCAAGAAGGAAGAGAGAAAAGATACAGAACACTGAGGAATTAGTGGAGTCAAGATGCTCTCTAAAGCCCCCACGCCTTGTTTAGCCATATTAATAGTAGAAATCTCCCTTTAAGGATCTCTGAATTCTTTTCAGGAATTCTAGTTCATTTACTTTCTTATAAGAACCTTTGATCAGTTTAGAAATAGAAAATAGTACACAAAAGGAAGAAGAATCTAGGTGTTAAAAATATTAATTATGCCTAAAAGCTATGTAATTATTGAAATCACATGAATATGAAGAAATGGCTTAATCATATTTCATAGGTCTGTCTGCTTTTAAATATTAGTACTTTTCTGTAAGTGATAATCCTCTTATCTGTGACACAGGACCTCCTATAGCGGAGGCTGCCTTTTAACTAGATATTTTTTTTCTGTTACTAAGTGGTTTCTTCCTTAGTGCTGTCTGTTGTGATGTAGTCCCAGAAGTTTGTGTGTGTGTCTATACGTATGTGAACATATTAAACATACGAAAACATTTTGCTTTCTGGCGTAAAGTGTATACGGTTTTATATTGTGGTATACATTTATGATTTATAACACTTTAATGTAGCTTTTTCCTTGTCACAGCTTCTAGGAATATGGTTCATTAGTGAATGGATAGCCACTGGAAAAACTGCAGCTTTCCAACTGGTGGAACTGGGCCCAGGCAGGGGTACCCTCTCAGGAGATATTTTGAGGGTAGGTAATAAAAGAATGTCTTAAAGTCTTATGAACATGAATCTTGGTCCTTTTGATTAAGTTTGAAAACTTTGTTATTTCCTTGGCATTTGAGTCCTACCTCCTTAATCTCATATTTCTCAGCTAAAATATAATTTCAGAATTATATAGTGAATCATTACCTACTGTTGTCTGTAATCTTAAAAAATAATGGGGGCAAGGGAAGAATGTAAAAGCTAAAAGTATAAAACATTTAGAAGGCATTATGGGAGAATATATTTGTCTCTGAGTAGGGAGAGAGTTTTTTAAATTATGTAAAAAGCAGAATCCATAAAGGAAAAGATGGATAATTTCAACTACATTAACATTAAGAACTTTTTTGTTCTTTAAAGAAACTACAAACTTTTTCTTCTTCAAAGACGGTGTAAAGAAAATGATGAGACAAGCCACAAAGTGGGAGAAGTTACTTGCATCACATATAACCAACAAAGGAATGGTAGTTAGAATACATAAAGAATTCCTTTAAATCAGTAAGAAGGTGACAGATAACTCAGTGGAAAAATTCAGGCCAAAGACGTGAACAGGCCCATTATAATAGAGGAAATATGGCCAATAAAAACAAGATGTTCAGACTCATTGGGAGTCAAGGAAATGAACATTAAAATCACAATGAGTAACCACTGTACCCTCAAGATTAGAGTCTGACAACATGAAGCTGTGGTGAGGATGGGGCATGTGGGGAACTCTCACATACAACTTGTAAGAGTATAATCTGGTGCAACCCCTATGAATAGCTACTGGGCATTATCTTCTAACATCAGTTACTTACATTCTATGGCCCAGCATTTACTGGTAGGCATGTACTCTGGAGGAACTAGTGCTTACACGTACCAGGAGACATGTGCAAGAAGATAGTAGCATTGTTTAGAATAGCCCAAAACTGAAAACAACCCAAGTGCTTATTGGTGGGAAAACAGATCAATAAATTGTGGTATAGTCACACAGTGGAATACCAAGTGCTGTGAAAATGCATGAAATCCAGCAGAAAGAAATAATACTCAACATGGAACTCAATATTTTATTGCTTGAAAATAGCAATCTGTAAAAGAACTTACATCATTTGATTGTATTTATATAAAATCTAAAAATAACTAACATTAAATAATATGTTTGGTGGTACAGATTTAGTTAGTATCACTCGAGGTTCAGAATGGTGGTGACATCTGAGGTTGAGAGTGGACGTGGCTTTAAAGGTAAGAGTCATGTCCTGTTTCTTTACCCAGACAGTGGATATTATTACATGTATCATCCCATCATTCTGCCTAATAGATATTTTATAAAAGCATTAAAAAGAAGGAGGATTGTTTGTAGTATGTGACAAATAATTGTATTTAATAAACTTCTGTAGTTTACACTGTTTTGGAACCCAGTACTTTTTTTGAGTTAATTTTGGGTATACTTGGCAGTTCCGTATAAAAAAATCATATGTTCAGTTTCAAGAAATTAAAATTTCTTTTGCTATCTGATTTTTGCTTGAAATAAGGAATTGAAGGGTTTTTTCAAAAAGAAAATTAACAAACATCTGACTCCTGATTATATTGCATTTTGGAGGGAAAAAAGCTCTACTGATTTAAATTTCCAGGGCTCTATTTAGCTCCTTAATTGGCAAAGTTATTTGAATATAAAAATCTTTAACAAGATTCTCAAATAATATTTTTTTTTGTTTCAAGTACTTTAAAAATTAAGCCCACAGCTCTTAAAATGTATGAAGGATGCTTCCCTACATTAAGTCCTAAGAACTTTAAAAAGCCAAAGAATGTAAAGGAATGTAAGGAGAATAGCCAAAGATGTAATTACAGACTTTTTTAAAAAAAAATCATACTTTATGAAGGATTTTTGTCTTGGGAAGTTCTTCCATATGTGGTTTCATCTCAAAACTAAATTTGGAAAAGTCATTATTTTCAGTCTGTATCTGTGTGTTGAGATCTCAGAGTAGGAGGCAAATCACCAGTGAAAATTAAATTCAAATAAAAAATATTGATGTATTTTATGTTATTGACATTGAATTTTTAGCATTAAAATAATAATACAACATTAGTATATTCCTTTTTTTCTCATGCTTACAATAGCACAAAAGAAAAAAAATTGTGTAGCTAAGAAAAAATTGAATGTGGGAAAGAATTTCAAAATTAAATTGTCAGGTTATTGTGCCATTCATATCTGACTTCCTGAGAACGTTTAATCACCTCAGAGGTGAGATTATTCTGTAGACTTAGCAGCTTTTTAAAATGAAGCCTAGCTCTCTCTCTGCCCTTGAGCTCACTGTGTGGCCCCAGGTGTGATATGTAGTTTCCAGGTCTTGTAAATAATAAACCTCTGTTTTTTCAAAAAAAAAAAAAAAAGGGGTACATACATTTTATTTCCTTCATCTTTTTTTAGGTTCCCTAATATGAATCATTGTTTTTATTGGAAGCTAAAGCTTTTATTTTCATTTGTTAATCATAATCCTAATTTTTATCAGTGGGAAACCAAAGTGTGTACTGTTCATTTCTTACATAGACCATGTTTGATAACTTATAGTCAAGATTCTCATGGACTGCTGGAGAGTGCTGTGTAAGGAAGAAATTTCTCTGAAACCAATTATTACTTCTGCTGTGACATGAGCAAATTATTGAGATAAATGGTTAGAAAACCTCAGATCTACTCAGCACATTGTATTTTGCCAATTTCTTCTTTTTATATTTAGGTGTTTAGTCAGCTTGGATCTGTGCTGAAAAACTGTGACATTTCAGTACATCTGGTAGAGGTGAGCCAAAAATTAAGTGAGATTCAAGCATTAACATTGACTGAAGAGAAGGTCCCATTAGAGCGAGATGCTGGAGCCCCAGTATACATGAAAGGTGTCACTAAGTCTGGAATTCCAATTTCCTGGTACCGAGATCTGCAGGATATTCCAAAAGGTAATTATTTTACATTGATTAATGAAAGAAGTTTGACCACACCTCCTCACAATAGTGATCGGTGACCACAACGTTGTAGAGCAACATAGTAGATTGAGTTAGTGCCTCCAAGTGTCTTACCTGTGGAGGACAGTGAGCCTTTTTCCTAGAGAAGAGCGCTGTATTAGAAAACAAAATCCCCTGACGTTGAGGAGCAGTGATTTTATGTGGTGTCACAAGACTAAACCAAACCAAAACCAACATACAGATTTTTGTTGTGCTTTTTTGCTTTTCCCTACCCCTAAGATAGGATGATGAAGCAGCCCAAGGCAATGGGGGCTGAAGGAAGTGTTACTCATGGGTTTACTTTAATTATCTCATCTTTCGATAACCCTTCCTTGGCCTAAAGGCAAGCAAGCATGGTGGGAAAATCCCCCGCAGCCTTCGGGACTCTTGTATTGATGAGCCCTAGCTCAAATCACGGGTGCTTGTCCTACCTTGGCAGGGCAGCTCAGCCGTTCCTGGCTTTAATCGTCTAAGTTGATGGCAGGAAATTCAAATCCTCTTCCAGCTAACAAATTTGAGTTCTGATTTCTTTCAGGCCTACTGATAAATAAAAGACTAAGCTGATAATTGGGATATTTTGTCTTTTGACTCTCTATGGGGAAAATGAGAATAGTGATAATTCTTCCTTTGTACTTTCTGCAGAGTGGGTTTGCCATGAGGAGGTGGATGATTCTGTGATAGTGATGATTACAGGAGCATCACAAGTTCAGTTATGAAGAACTATGCATTTTTCTTTTGTTAGTGTTCACAAGAGCTGTTGATTGCCTTGAAAATGCTGAAATGTTAACTTTTTCTTCTGTTTTTAAATAGGGTTCAGCTTTTATCTTGCACATGAATTTTTTGATGTTCTTCCTGTGCATAAGTTTCAGGTATTGATGGGGAAAAAAGTCACATTTATAATTGAATAACAAAGAGCCTTATGTTGTAAGAATAAACATTTATGGTATTTAAGTATTATTTGGCGAAGTTAGCTGTATTTGGAAGTTTGATGAATACAAATAACTGAAAAAAAATCTTAATTCTCTTAGGATTATTGTTAACAATTCTTAATTCTCCTGAGATAAAGACGTGTGGGGATGTTAGAGGTTATATGGCTATAGGAAATGAAGGGTTATTTTCTAGCAAATATTTTTAAATTCCAAAGATTAAAATTTTTCGTCACTTTTTCCTGTGAGGAGATGTAAGATTTAGTGGCAGTGTGTGTATACTGGTGACTTCTAAGTACATACTGGTATGTAGTCATTTGTTAATTAGTCCTCTTAAGTCTGCTTTCCATTCTGAGGGCACTTTCCATGCTGCTAATTTTCTCCTCCATTTCTCATCTCATAATATCAGTAGTTTGCATCTGTCAGTCTGCTCATATTTTTCAAAGGAAATGAACTAATGCCTTTAAATAATTTTAAGTGATCAAGTGCTCTGTAAATGTTAGTTATCTTATTTATGGTAAGGGGAGAAGACTTAAATTATTTTGGTGGAGGTAATTTGAGAACAAACTTACAAAAATTTGTTCTTTTGTGTTTAGAAGACACCACATGGATGGCGAGAGGTCCTCATTGATATTGATCCACATGTGTCTGATAAGCTGAGGTTTGTTTTGGCACCTTGTGCCACCCCAGCAGAAGCCTTCATACAAGTAGGAATAAGTTTTTTTTCTTAGTTTATTGCCAACCAATTCTTCAGTCTTATTTTCTGAGTTACTATTTTAGAGTTCTTTGCAACGTGTGAGGTACTTTTTATTAATAGTGAAAAGTGCACAGGCTCTAAAGTCAGGAGACTGGGTTCAAATAATTTCTTAGCTGTGTGAGAAAGTCAGCACTCACTCAGCAAGTCCCTGACTGTCTCTACCTCAGTTTCCTATCAAATGGCCACAATGGTGTCTACCTGAAAGAAGTTGTTATCTGTGAAAACAGTGTAGTACAGTGTGTAGTAAAGTAACAATAACATTTATTGAGTATTTTGTATGTATGACTCTGTTTTCTCATTTAATTCTCAAAACAAGTCTAGTAGGTAAATTTTATCATCACTCTCTTTGAGCTACTATCAGAGCATGCCTTTTTTCTCAGGCTTCCACCCCGATCTAAATTTGATTCTAGACTGCCCGAATGGTACATTTTCTGCTGCTTTCTCTTGTCCTCAAGGAATAACTACAAGAGCCTATCAGATATATCTTGGGGTTGTGTTTAAAAGTTCAGAAAAAACCTGTCCTTCTCAGGAATGTTTGGACGTTAGGTTGCCTGTTTTATTCCTTTTTCTCCAGCTCAGAAAAAAAAGATTTCTACTTTCTGGACCATAACTAAGAACTTCTGCTTCAGAAGTTACCGATTTTAAATGTAAAAGAGCTTTTAAACATAAACCTATGAATTAAGTTTTCTTTTGCAAAGGATAAGGTTAAAATATCGGCCTAACTGCTTGTGAGCATTTTTCTTTTTGTATATTCTGGCTACCTAATTTTACCTGAGTGAGAGACAAATTCATAAAGCTACCAAGAGCTAACCCACTGGCCCTGGGAATTGTGATTCTTTTTAGTTCCTGATTTGAATGGTATACAGTTATGAGGGAGGGAGTGATGATTTTCCCTGTCATTTGGATGGGGCCAGTGGTAAAGGGATCTGTTGTCTTGAAGGGCATTCTCACGGTAAGAATGTTGGTATGGGATGCCGAGGCGTGTCAGTTTATGCCTGAAGCAGCTGACCCCATGGTTGTTACAGTTAAGTCACAGTAATTTATTTAATAGCACTGGGGGCTAAGTGGTTTGTTGTTTCATTTAATCCTCACAGTAAGCCTAGGATATGTGCTGAGGAAACAGACTGTGAAAGGTGAGGTAACTTGTCTGTAATAGCAGTGGGAGAGCTGAGACTCAGGGGCTGAGTCTGGCAGACTGTACCTGGTAGACTTGTGCCATTATAGTCAGGGACATCGGGGCAGGGCAGGAGGGTGTTGGCGTTTAGTAGGATGTTAGGAGGGAGCAAAAGTTAATGTATGTTTAAATGATGAAGAAAAATTTCTTTTGTTATCACAGGAATTAGTGAAATTTTACACTAATACGAGTCAAGTTGACAGGTATTACTGCTGTCATTTCACTTGTTAAGCTAATAAGCACTTACTGAGGACCTTTAGTTAATCGTTGAAAATCTTGAGAAATAAGGCCCTCGGGGATATTGACGCTAGTTTATAAGCTGATATTATTAGATATAGGGCATATCGTTGGGGTACCTTTTGCCCCCAAAGAAGGCAAATATACTTGCTTAATAGGATGTGTTTTGTTATATTGGATTTATATCATTTATTCTAGCTGCACAATTTTTTGAGTGTCTCTTATGTGCCAGGCACTGTTCTAGGCAGACAAAAATTCCTTTTCCATGAGTTCAACCCAGCAGAATATATTTATACGAATTGATATAAAAGTATAATCACCATAAAAAATGATAATGTACCTTTTTATAGACGGCATTAAAATTAAAATATCTTTGTAAACTTAGTGGACAGCATCTGAGAACCAAAGAGTTCTGTATAATATAAAGGACATCATGTGAAAAGTTGAGTGTAGACAATGTATTCATGTTGAGAAGAAATTTATTTTTATTGTAACTGAGAAATGCTCATTGTCGAAAATTCCTAAGGAAGCAGGTCTTTTGAATGATGTATTTTGATTCAACTGTTCCCTTACTAGTGTGATGAAACAAGGGATCACGTGGAAGTGTGTCCTGATGCAGGTGTTATTATTCAGGAACTTTCTGAACGCATTGCAGTAACTGGAGGTGCTGCTCTGATTGCTGATTATGGTCATGATGGAACGAAGACCGATACCTTCAGAGTATGTATAATTCAGTCCCATGATTTATCAGAATTTAATTGGTAATTTACTTGTAGTTGTTGTTTGTTAGGTTTGAAACTCATTGAAGATCTTTATCTTCTTTGTTTTCCACAGTGCCTAGCATTGTTGTATTATACTGTTTTGTAATTAATCCATGTTTTTATTATTACCCTTAACCCTGTATCTTACTGTCCACCTATCATTTGAACGGAGTCTGAATTGTCTACATTATTTCTTAAGTTGCAGAACCTAGGTTTGCATATATCCTAGTAAGCATCTACTACAAATGGATTTTCTTAAAATTTTCTCTTCCTCCTTTATTTAAAAAAGATTTGGTACTACTTTGAAGCTTTGATCTAGCTACTGTAGTCATTCTAACTTTTTCTATCATGTTTTCGACTTTTTTCTCCTCTTTTGGTGTATTCTGCTATCCTTCCTATACATCCTTTCTTATGTTCTTTGAATATAATATGATCGATCAATTCTGTCCAATACACTTCAGTTGAAATACATTTACCTCGATGCCATTAGTCATTTTCTAGATCTTTTGTTCTCAGTTTCTAACTTTATTTAAGAAAAACCTGGAGAGTTTTATTAAAAATTCTGGTTCCCTTGCCTTACCTCTAGGATTCTGATCCACTAGGTCTGGGTGGAGTCCAGTAATATATTCTCAGGTGATTCTGATGCATATAGTTGATGGATACACTTTGTGTAACAGTGTCTAGGTTCTGATAACCTGGATTCATCTGGAAAATTATCTCTTCTATCTTGTCACCGTGGGCATTATTAAAAATGTTAAACAGTTGTCAAAAGGAGCGTCTCCAGGCACTCCAAGATAGCACTTTATGTTGGCTTTTCCACATAGCATCTCACTTGAGGAAAAGGTGCTACCTCATTAAGCTTGTAAACCACTGATTTAGGCCATATTTTCCTTCTTAACAGTTATGTAAAATGTACCAAAATGATAGCATTTATTTAATCTTTAATGATAACAATAAAGACAAAAACTTATCATTTAAAAAATTATGTTCAAGGGGTTTTGTGGCCACAAGCTTCACGATGTCCTGATTGCCCCAGGAACAGCAGACCTAACAGCTGACGTGGACTTCAGTTACTTGCGCCGAATGGCACAGGGAAAAGTAGCTTCTCTGGGTCCAATACAACAGCAAACATTTTTAAAAAATATGGGCATTGATGTCCGGCTGAAGGTAATCATTTATTTTATTTCACTATCATTATATATTTTAATTTCATAGTGTTTCAATATGTATTTTAAATATTAAGTTCACCTGGCCTTAATGCTCTTGAGGTTAGATCCCTGGTGTTCTAGTCTTTTCAGTAGTATGGGATTCAGTGTAACCAGACAGCCTGGGGGTGGAGCTGCCTGGTAAGTTTTATGCATCTCCATATGAGGTAGAATTAAGACTTCCAAATAGTGTTTATGTTCACTAAGAAAATTTGAATGTGAGTATAAGTATGAATTTTATAACTATTTTGATGACATCTTAACCCTTCAGTGTAGATCAGACCATCTGAGAATATGTTAAACATACAAATCCCTAGGTTTGGGTCAGAGTAACCTGTGTTTTTAATAAACACTCTGTGATTCTGAGGCAGGTGATCGAAAATCACATTTTAAGCACTACTTTATTGAATAGCTAATATTAGAAATACTAAGTCATTAGTATTGCTGCATATACCTAGGAATCCTTTCTTCTGGTTATTTTTAATAAAAAATTTTTCTTTTCAGGTTCTTTTAGATAAATCAGATGAACCATCATTGAGGCAGCAGTTACTTCAGGGATATGATATGTTAATGAACCCTAAGGAGATGGGAGAAAGATTTAACTTTTTTGCCTTGCTACCTCATCAGAGACTTCATGGTAGGAATCATCAGATAAATGCATTGCAGTCAGAACCCTCTCCATCACCTGTCGCTGGGTTTAGTGAACTTGTTTGGCGGTGATACTTCAATTTGGACTTTTTACCCCCAAGTCTGCCTAAGAAACCAGAATAAAGAGAACATATGTATCACAGGTAAAATAAGTATTAAAATATTTTATTGCTTCACAGCCAATAAAAATAGCCCATCTTATTTAAAGTACAACTAAACAATGATCTTTTAAGATTGTTTGACTCTTGGTACAAATGTGTGTTCTCAATTTAATGAAACATATTATTGAGTTTCCTCTAATAAGGCTACTTACTGCATTTTTATTTTAAAAAGTAAACATGAATACTGATTGGTTTAATAAAAACTGGAAACAACCTAACTGGCCATTCACAGGGGGCTGATTAAATAGAACTATCAGATATTATTTATAAAATGAGGTAGAGCAACATGTTCTGACATAGAAAGATCTCTAAGACTTAGTAAGTGAAAGAAGTAGGGTACAAAGTGTTCCACAGTTATGATTCCATTTTTGTTGGAGAAAAAGCTACATTTAAAGGAGTGCTTGTGAGTAATTTATAGCAATTACAACACTAAATGCAGACTAGTTGTTTTCTTTGGTATTTACTTGTATATGAAAGGAAAGAAAGGATGGACAGTAATCACTATTTATTGAAGAGTCTGTTCTTTCTTTATTGTAAATTCTTGCCTTCTTTGTTGTAGAATAATTTATCATAGGTGTGTGCGTTTATTTCTGGGCTCTCTATTCTGTTCTATTGATCTATGTGTCTGCTTTTGTGCCAGCACCATGCTGTTTTGATTATTGTTGCTTTATGGTATAGTCTGAAGTCTGGGAGAATGATGCCTTCAGCTTTGTTCTTTTTTCTCAAGATAGCCTTGGCAATTTGGGGTCATTCATGGTTCCATATAAATTTTAGTTTTGTTCTAGTTCTGTGAAAAATATCATGGGTTTTTTTTGATAGGGATTGCATTAAATCTGTAGATTGCTTTGGGTAGTATGGACATTTAAACAGTATTAATTTTTTCAATCCAAGAACACAGG